CTTGCGGAGATAACACACGCACACACACACACACACACACACACACACACACACACACACACAAGAGAGAGAGAGAGAGAGAGAGAAGCGAGAGAACGGCGAGAGACAGTGAAGGAGAGAGCGAGAGGGCAGGAAGTTCCTAGCTGTTCTACTCTCGCCAGACCACACAACAAAATAAAGTTAGAGTCTTTAGGCACAAATCATTTAAACCTTCTGTTAAATAAAGAAGGAAAGACGGTGGGGAAAAGAGAAGAAGCAACAGAAGGTGGATGTGAAAAACAGGGAGAAAAAAAAAATTAATCTGACAGCTGAGTAATGGGGGACAGCATGATGGGAATAAACACACCAGGGACTCTCAGACAAGTGACACAGGCAGTATGATGTTACAGTGGAGAGACAGAGTGAGCTTGTCTTGGCAGTATAAAGTACATTAGCCAATGTAATTCCATGGGGCTGACATTATTCCTTTTGGGCAGATTGAAGGGCAACTAAAGTAAGGTTTTTCACGCTCACACACTCCATAATACATTTAACAAGCTGATGTGCACTAGTAACAAGCATTTTTGTTTACATTAAATCACATCTTAAATGAGTGACCAAAACACTGACTATCCTCACAAAACCCCTTCATCAATGTGCTTGGCAGTTTGACCTCGGGTTATCCGGCATCTACCGAATGTACGGTGATTCATTTCATTACAAGCTATTATATTACATATTACGTCTCACGTCAAAAGTGCAGAAAACTTAAAAATAAATGTGGAAGGTGGCGCACTCAATCCCAAACTAACCAAATATCCTATTTTAAGGATGTCATTCTGCCATTTTATAATCATAAATAACATCCTCTACTTCGGCTTAAGAGTGGGTTATTTAAAGTGGACTTTTCACATATTATATATTCATAACTGCATAAATATGTTGCCAAAGCAAAGGTAGAACGAATGCATCCAACAGCATTTTGATATGCAGAGGCAAATAAAGTGTGCTTTTTACATACCAATGAAAAGTGCAACGTCCTGATCAAGAAAAGCGCATTTGAAGTTTACAAGACAGAGACGAAGCGTCCAACTGACTTTGAACTTTTCACAACCTTTCAAAACACGCTGTACTGACTGAGCACAGGTTGAATGAAGTTCCACTCCTCTCCACGCCCACAAAGAGGATTTTTCATGGTCCTTTGGGCGTATCATCATCCCTCTTTTTTCCTCCTCCTCAGATAGCCCCATTCTAGCAAACTAATTATTACCAAAGTCTGAAGCAAGATGTGTGGGAGTGTCAGAGGAAGGGAGAGAGGAAAAGGGAAGGAAAGGAGAGGTTCAGAGAGATCACAGAGCCTGGTCGTTTAGTCCTCAATGCCATCCTCCAGCACCCCTGCAGAGCATACTGCAAAACACACATCAAAAGAACAAAAGTACACGCATACATACACACCTGCAGCGCCCTCACTGCACTTAGATGATGTTCGCTTGAAGTAAAAGAGTTGCATCCAATGGACTGTTCAAGGCTAGAAAATGATTCTTTAAAGGGATGACAGGACATCAATCTCAGCAGCAACACTTCATAGATAGCGGTGTTGATGTGTGTGTACTGTGCACACTATGGGTCTCAGAAACACTGTACTGCTGCAGTATTGCCTCATATGCATTTAGAATATGCCAGTAGGTTTTCCCACAACTTCAAAAACAAGACAACAATCTGTTCCCTTTTCCATTTCTCACTTCCTTCATCTCGCCCACCACCCAAACACTATAGATTTTGAAGACCAAATCTATCATGGAATCAATTTCTCTCTCTCTCGGCCTCTCTATATAACTGAAAGACAGTACAGCTCACACATACTCAGACATACCACAGATGCTCCTGGACAACAACATCTCTGGCCATCAGTCTACTCACCAGCATATCTGTGGCATGAAGGTAGTGCTTGCTCGCCATATAGGCCTCCAGCCGTTGAGGCACCTGCTTGATGCTTTCAATTTCATCCAGCAGCTGGAGAACGTGCTTGTGCTCGATGCCCTCTATCCACAGCTTCCTCAACTCATCCCTCTTGCAATGGAGCAGCATCTTACAAGACAGGAGGTTTTCCTTCACCTGCAGGAAAGAGTGAGTTCAAATCCAAAGAAGAAACAAAAGTTTGTCCACGGGGGGGTATTGTAGCCACAGTAGTTCTACAACAGTTCGTTTTGTAAGGTAGATTTTGTCTGAACTGGTGTGTTAACTTGAAAATAACCTTCCCTTTTTTTCCTGCAACAAACTCGACTTTCTGGCTCACTTTCATCAAAAAAACAGTACAGTAATAAAGGTGATATATACAGTATAACAATAATATCAACCTCATTTAATAAATGTATGTGTAATCAGTGTAGAGAATCTCTGAAAAGCAGGGAAAATTATATCCCTTGACACTTTTTTGGGAGACATTCATATTTATTTTGGATTTTTACAAGCGCGATGAAACAGTTGGCAATTACATTAAAGGCCCTGTACACCTACACAGGTGCTTCTGGCTGATTAGACCCCAGGTTCAAGTTGGCCAGAGCTATGCTGCGAGTTCAGAAATAAAAAAATAAAAATTTTTATTTAGCTACTTCTATTTCAGGGCTATGGTATGCTGGCTAACTGTCACACCGTCACGGCTTACTGGGATACTTGAATATATCAGAGGCATATATCATGAATATAACATTGTTACTGTTATTAGTATCACCTGTGCCTTTCTCTCATAGAGGGGACCGAGTGGCTGACCTCCCCATTTTGAATATTTTAAGTGTGATAGAGAAACTTATGTCCGGGGGCTAAGGATTCTGACTTCAGCTGACGATTGTTAAGTAGGCAGTTTTCTTCTCGGGTGGACAGGATTTGTGTTAATTAACTCAGTCTTTCAGTCTTGTGGCATAAAAAAAAGGCTAAAAACTGAGATAAGAAACCATTTTAATGTATGAGCAAGCAAATGTAAATGAATGAAAAACGTGTTTTGTTTTTAAATTACACAGCTTAGACTCACTGTTCCGAAATCCATCAGAAACAATGTCAGCATGACTTCTTATAGTTTTGAGTCCAGCATCCACTTTTGTATACGAGTCTCTCCTTTCTACCTGTTTGATCTTGTTGCGGGAGCTGGTGATGCGCTCGGTGATGCTCTGGTAGGTCCGGATGGCTGTGGTGAGCTCGGCATAATGCTGAACAATCAGCTCATCTAAATCCCTGTCGCAGGTCTCGAAGGCCTCTTCCAGTCGACCCTTCTCCGTCTCCCTGTCCTGCACATCATCGCTGCTGGACAGAGTCCTGCATCACAGAAGAAGGAAAGGAAAGGTAGAATTCACCTCAGTAATTACATCCATAACACCAGGAGTCTGAATGAAGCATCAGTGTTGGAGTGGAGAACGGACACTCTCTGGAAATGGCAATTACAAGCCGAGTTTAAGCAAAGCAGAGCGTATGTAAAGCACTTGAAGGCAGCATAAGGTAGAATAAGTGGGTTTTTTTTTCACAAATGTGGCAGAAGAGGCTCATTCGTTCATTCATTAAAGCACGTCTTGCATTACATACTAAGGACCAGTGGGAGGACTTACAGGGCCCCACGGACACTCCCGATATACACTTTTTAAACACTATAAACGTGGAGTTTTGTTTGTTTGCATCATTTTCATATATTTCCCTCTCCCCCATCAGAGTTTTACAAGAGGAAGTGAAGCTTTGAGGCAAGTTAGAGTTACAACTGACAGAGTTACAAAGGTCACAGCGAGGTCACGGTGGTTTCTCTCATGTAATTACTGTATTTTGGGGGGGTTTTTTTTGGTTAAGATTACATCCGAGTCAGGACATAAGCTTCTGTGTTCCTACAACATAAAAGTCAAACTTTAAAATCCCAGACAAGTCGTTACACAAAACTTAAGCAACTATTGCTCAGCGACCTCTCTTAAATCCAATACTGCTGCAATTCGTTGAGCCAACCCGAATAAAAAGGCAGAGCACTTTATTTCGTCCAGTTGTTAGAAAAGTCATTGACGTTTCTAACAAGAATAATCCATGTGTGGCCAAAACCCAACCTCTTCTTCAGCTTCTTCAGCTTTCTGCTTCCGGAGTAAATAACACTGCTGCTAATATTAACCGACACCAGATATTCTATTTAATATCGTTCATAAAAGTAGCACAAACGTGTGAGCTTTAATTTCTTTTCACAACAATACAGGAAGGATGTTGCTAACGTGTAGCTTTAGCGTAAAAGCTAGCTGTCAACCAGCGTCTGTGCCGCAAATACGAGCACGGTTCAAGAGCTGCCTGGCAACTTACCGGCGCCGTAAAGTTAATAAACTGAATGCTACAGCGCTTACCTTATCACAGAGATAAGAAGACCAGAAGGGTCTTTGTTTTTGCTAACTGCAGTCCTGTATCTCCCTGTATCAGCTGCCATTTTTCCAGCTGCGGCACCCAAACAGGAAGACAGAAGCGCGAGGTTAAGCGAAGGGATTCTGGGAGTTGTAGTTTGAATAGGGATGAATAGGGAACCAGTAGAGCACATTTTCTCTGCCTTCTGCTTTAGTCACAGTCACAAATGTGAACTATATGTTGTAGCTACATTGATATGGGTAATATAAAATAGACATAGATTTGAAAACAGGTTTTGTAAGTAAATTGTCTATATTGTGGGGCTTCTCTATTTGTATGGAAAGGTATTTTACACCCCATTTCCACAGTTGGTCTGGTCTGTACCTGTAGGTTTATTTTTCATTATAAAATATTTTAACAAATAAATCAGCCATTCAAATGATAAATATTGATAAAATAATAAACATTTTAATTTTAAATCCATTCTCGACATTGATCTCCATGAACAGGGATCTCCATAATAAGGATAATAAATTGTTTTATGGCACACTTCCAGTGTGTTCTGCACAATGGCGAAGATAGTGACTCATTGGTGTGTGCAGCGTGACTAAGTTATCTAGGTATAATACTAAATTGAAACTGTTATATGATATTTGATGTTGATATTTTAACAATACAAGTATCACAATAGAAAAAAAATGTTTTATTGTAACATTTTCAATCCAGTCCTCTTGAGGCTGATAAAGAAAAGGCTGAGCAGAGAAGAAAGGGAAGAGACAGTGTGTGTCAGTGAGTTAATAGCCTTCCCCATTTAGAACATATAGTGCTGGATTTGGCAGGTCTTTCCTGCGCTGTATCTCTGACAATCTCTGCTGTACCAATGAGAATGGGAGAGGGCATTGATTCTGGAGCAAAGGGGGTCGATTCCCAACAGCCTGGGCCTTGATTGATGCGCTGGTGGACCGACGAGATAACATTGTGGGTGATCTTTGTGTCTCTTCCAAAAAAAAAAGAAACAATCGCTGTGTCATGCAGGAGCCACTGTTTTTCTTTGGAAGGCGCCTAGCCTTCCAGGTCCAAGTTTAATTTTGAAGTTCTTATCACCTTTCCCTGCAGCCCATGTCCCATCAGTCCAACTAATCTATGGGGCTTCTTTTCTCCAATAACGCAGCACCAAGGTTATTTCTTTCAGCCTGATGTGTGTTTGGACACTAAGTAATTGCTTTGACTGACTGACCCGTGTGTGGATTAAATACAAGGGCAATAAGGTCTTTGTAGGACATGCCTTTATGATCTGTTAATGTATAGATCTAAATGCAAATGCTGCATCTCAATTACTCTGTGTCCTTCATCTAATCTTTAGTAAAGAAAGTGTAGATACTTAAAAGGTAACTTTTATAGTACTTTAAATAATGGTGATGCCACTTTTCCAAAACAATTTTTCAGTACATAATTACAGTATGTGGCTATTGAAGAAATAGCAGATGATATGGATTAAGATAAGAGGACCTCTATTAGCAAAAGCATGCATTTAAACAGCATGTGCTTTCCTTTAGATATGGTTTTTGTGATCACTAAATAATTCATGTGTTTGTTCTTAGGAATCTATTTTTATGTAATTAACTGATGAGTCACTGTTAATGTATGATAATAGCTTTAATAATTATCAAGAGAGAAATACCACGGAAAAACAAGAGGGTTGTGTAAATACAGTATTTACACCTCTTCAGTGACACCCCTTGGAAACTTGTAACAAAATGTCATCGCCTGCTGATTAAGAAGAAGATACTTCTTTACTTGTTTCCATGGAAATGTGGTTGAGCAAAACGTTGCATCTATTTTATGCCTTCTGGATTTTTCATATGATCTTGAATCAGATAAAACAAAACATGTGTCTCATATCTCCAACTTAATGCGTCACCTACATTAGGATACAGCACAGCAAACATTTTATTTTATTATTTTTTTTCTTTTCTTTCCATACTCAATTTTGCTGAAATAACACAAAGATAAATTGCATTAGATAAAGACTGATGGATTCCTAATGTGGAATCAAGTCAAACGTCACAAGATCAAGGCAAGATTTTATAAGATATATAGCCTAAAGGTAGTACTAAAATACTGTATATTGGTTTAGAGGATAAAGCAAGATGTAAAAGTAGATATCCACACTATGAAGTGCATAACTTGACCACATCATGTCTGTATTATGACTTGAGTGATCTTTGAGTTGCTTTGAGGTAGCAGATTTTCAGCCAATAATAGCAACAAAAGCAATTTTCTCAGTGTTTCACTGGAAGGTTTAAACAACAAAAAAAGTTAAATGATTCACATAATTGAGCGTGCAAGGTGTGAAAACAGGATGATAAGTAATGATGCTAATTATATTCACATTATCAAACATTTAGGTAGCAGTGACATGAGTATAATCTAATAATATACTGGACATGCAGAAAAAAATATTTTTCTCTCCCTCTCATATAGTCACTGAATTAAGTATTACCGATATGTTAACCAGATCACCAAGCAGCATAATTGCTCAGTATCAGAGTCAGCGATCAGTCTTAATAATAATCTTGTTTTCTATAATAATGCTGTCACAAAAAGCAAGCAAGGCTGTTTTCCACACCATAACATTCAATCATGTCTCTGTTCTATAAGCTCTGTATTCAATACAGCCTGAGGCTTTTCAGACAGTACCCTCAGGGCATTACTGAACATTCTAATTCTTTATTATGTAATCTGTTCCTGTTGTAGCTGTGAGGGATTCCCCTTGGGGAAATCTGTTCATGACAATATGACACACTTCAAATACCTTCTGTATTATCGCAGAGCACCACAGAAAATGAAAAATTAATATAACTTCATAATCTGTTCATTTGTGGGTAAATGCATATCAATATAGCCAAATACATATCGTATACTGACCAAATTGACAAATTGGTATGGTCCTGCCGTGCACACCTGGCCAATATTACCTTCTTTGTTTTGATAGTTTTAATAATCACATTTCTTTCAAGACATACCTCATGTCATCACATTCCCAGTGACTGATGTGTCCTCTAATTCACTTTAAAATCTTTATCCTTAGCTTTCTTTTCCAGTTCATATATGAATTTTATGTGTTTCTTTTTGCACATGCAGCACTGTCAGCCATTCTGGTAAATAGTATATTATATTAAAATATGTATTTGATCAATGTTTATATTGTGTAGAAGATCTGAATACGAGCCCACTGTGTATATGGAATTTCTCAATAATGTTCTAATAATGCTCTAACGCAAGTAAAGTGTACAAAAACAAAAAGTGGACTGTCTCCCACATTACATGTAGATAGCTGACCCTCTGGCAACCTGCGGTCTGACAATGGGAGCGAATAACAGTAAACAGGTGTCTCACGGCTCCCTAACTACCTAAACAGTTAGTACAATGTTTATATTGTGTAGAAGATCTGAATGCGAGCCCACTGTGTATATGGAATTTCTCAAAAATGTTACAGTATACGCAACAACAATGAATCCTTAAAAAGGTTTTGATTGATTTATGTTTGCACAGCATTGCCAACATACGCAATGCAGAAAACACAAAACCACAAAAATAAGCAGAAAAGAGCATTATAGAAAACTGTATTAGGTTATTGTGTATAATATATCAAGTTTAGAGGATGATTCTTATGATGTGTCATGCCTTATAATATCCTTTCTTCTCCAGGCATATCAAATTTCCAGCTGCCATTTTATGTCCTGCCAGGCTGTATTAGTTTCTGAAATTGATATTTCATGAAATATATATTTTTAAATGGATTCTCTTAACACACAATAGTTTTTTGAATCTATTTCAAAATCAATATACATCTTTAAAATGGCTGATTTATTGACTACTTGATAAAATGCCTGCTGATGATGGACCTTAAGATGAATGTTCAGCAAGTACACTTGACCTTTCTGCACTGACATGATTCACAATTGATGAAAGTATATTCTATCTTTTTTTTCATACAATATTGAATCTTGGGAAGATGCTTTTTGTCTTATCTGTGATTGTCTTGTATCAGATGTTCCAGTGGAATAGGATTTAATAGCTTTTCTTCTCATTTTGTACTCAGTTTCTTTAGAGTTATTTAAAAAAAAAATTTTTAAGAAAAATGCAATAGCAGTAATAGCAGAATGTTATTGTACGGAACTGAGATGTCTGTGATTCACCAATAACTTATTATCATGTTGTCTTAAGAGCAGGGCTGGCGAATGCTGTGTCCAAAATGCAGATGTTTGACTGAGAGACTGACTTCTCTTTCCTCTCCCTCTTCTGCTGTCTCCTGCTCATCTGCATATTTAATTTTGGGTTTTGTTTGCTTAACATCCCTGGTTATCCCAGACAATGTCATACCTTCTATCACCCCATCTTTTCACCTGTCTGTTGCTTCTGCCTGATCGTTCCCCAGGTTGCTCACCACTGTTGTTTGTCAAATTGTCTATGTTGCCTTAAAGCTAAGCTTGTGCATGCTTACCCCTACCACGTTTGATCTATCTTCTGTCTTTGATTATCCCTGCTTGCCTTGCTCCTTTGGATTTGTTTGTCTGTTATGACAGGCTGCCTGTTACTGAATGTAAGCCACCTCACGACCAAATAAAGCCTTCTTTTATTATATCAGTTCTGCCTCATTGTTCCACAAATTAAAATCAACATTTGTTGTTCACACATTAATTCCCAGGATTAGATATTCTGCTATACAAATAACAAAGACACGTACTGGGAGAAATATCAATAAGGTGTTGATGGTTTAAGAGACGTCTGAAACAAAGTGAGGGAAAACAAGGATAGAGAGAAGAGAGATACACCCTTCAAAAGTGGTTTAAACATGATATCAGTAGCAAAGAAATTAGCAATTGGTGGTAGAGAGCGACAGCAGGATATGCAATGAACTTCAGTGGCAGAGTATGTGATGCAAAAGTTATTTATTTGTCAGGAACAAAGACAGAACAGACTGATTACAAGTGGAGATGCAAGTATTGACAGTATAGGACACAAAAGTGATCTGGCTGCTATATTCTACAGCATGACAGTGAGTCTCAGGATGTTAGATCAGTTCAGAAGCAAAGGTTCTCAATCAGAATATGGGCACTGAATCCGGCTATGTAATCGGTTTCCATTTATATTCCCTGTCCTTCTATTCTTATTGCAGCTCTATTTCAATTTCAGGGGCTGCCTTTGCTTCCCCTGTTGGGTTTGGCAACTCATTCTGCATTTTTAAAATCAATCTGACAACACTGTCCATCAATTGGGATCTATATTCTCTCCTCCTCTCATTCATCTCTCATATTCTTACTATAATTTTAAAAAATGAGTTAATACCAAATTGTTTCCTTAGAGTAGCAGAGAACTGACATTATCAAGTACTAAACTGAATTTTTGCTTTAGTTATTTTTTAATCTATTTTATTCAGGCATCATTCTTGTATACAGCTTTTTGTGTTAAAATAGAAAATCCGCATCTTTTTTGAATGAAAAAATTAGTTGTCTTATCACCCACCAGAAGTCACTGCAGAAGACAATAGGTAGTCTTTTAACTTAAATAAAAAATGTATTGGCATTCCTATTAATTGCTACGGTGTACAGCTATACATATATACATTCAAAGCATATGTTTTATGTCTTATCTGAATATATATTGTTGCCTACTTCAGGCAAAGTGGGTAATTTAATTAATGTAATTAATGGCACAACTTGACAATGTATGGAATATTACAGTTATTTCTTTCTGGATATTGCTACACAAAAGTCATACACCAAACACCGAGCACACTGATGATGAACACAGGAGAAAGTTGGTCAAACAACAGCCAATGACAACCCCCGATGTAAAGACGCTGCCGCTTCCGTCCAATCAGCTCACACGTTCTTCGACCACGTCATGCTAAGGAAGCGTTGACGTGCCGAAGCAGTGGCGTGTGGGCCCCCAGATAGCAATACCTGCCATCCAAACGCAAGTAAAGTGTACAAAAAACAAAAAAAGTGGACTGTCTCCCGCATTACATGTAGATAGCTGACCCTCTGGCAACCTGCGGTCTGACAATGGGAGCGAATAACAGTACCCGCCGCGTCTCATTTGAGTCAGATGAGAACGAGAATATAACGGTGGTGAAGGGCATACGGGTAGGTGACAGCTAATACATACCTGTTAGTGTTGAGTAAACAGGTGTCTCACGGCTCCCTAACTACCTAAACAGTTAGTACAATGGCGTATTGTGGCTGTGTCGTCAATGCTTTAGTAACTCTAATGCTATATGGCGTGTCTAATGTCGTTGTTATTGCAACGCAGCTAGCGATAAGCGACTTTCATTCATTCTCAAAGCTACACCGGCCAGTCTGAAGTAGTCTAAACTGTAACAACTTATAGTCGATAGCTACCGCAAGAGGCTTTGAGATTTTAGTCCCGAGTAAACTTTTGAATGCCCTTGTGTGGGGATGTTGACATTGACGTCACCAGCCTCGTGTTAGGCTGGCTGTCAGTCAGTGTATGAATGAACCGGACTCGAACCGGACTCGAACCGGGCAGGCTGCCGCTGTCGAGGTTGTAGATAATGTTATCCTTTTGCGAACTGGATACGTGTGCATGGGGTCGTGAGTGCTGACAGGGAATGACTGCCAGCTTCTGTCACAGGTTCCTCTGTGCCACTGTCTGCTGATGTTAAATATAGATTTGAGAGGCTTTAGTCGATCAGATAAGACTTCAGTTGTCATGGCTCTGTCTATTATTACTCAGTTGGCAAGCCAACCAAGAGAGGCTACTGTTATCTTTCAATGAGGTGTAATCCTGTTTATGCCAATTATGTAATGGTTGCGTAAACAGATTGAAAACAAAGCTACATCAGTTTGGCACAATGTATAGTTTTCCATAGGAACGATGCCCTTACTCGCTTTCTTGCTGAGAGTTAGACGAGAAGACCTGTACCACTCGCATATCTGTGGAGTTTAAAGCTAGGAGATGGCCAGCTTAACATAAAGACAAAGAGAAAATAGCTGCACCTCTCTCCAAAGTTACAACAATCAGCATCTGTAAAGCTCACTTATTAACACATTGTGTCCTGTTTGTTCGATCTGCACACACAGAAAATGTAAAAGTGACAAGGTGTGGTTTAATGTTGAACTGTTTCTTTAAATCCCTCTCTGAAACTTTTCTCCCACTCTCCTTTGCAGCTCTCTGAGAATGTCATCAACCGCATGAGGGAACCTGTTACTCCACCTAAACATGAACAAGCCCCCACACCGCCACCTTCCATGGCACCTCCCCTCGCTCCTTCTCCTCTCCTGCGGCCAGTGCCTCCCCTCTTTGACCCGATCACCTCCTTGCCTCCTCCCCCTCCCGTTGTAGAACCTGTTGCACCTCCACCTCCTCCTCCACCAGCTCCATTTGCCACAGAGACAGTGGCTGCTCCTCCACCAACACCTCCTCAGCCTCCTACAGAACAGGTAGCAGCACCCACCATAATTGACATGGTGCTCCCATCTTCACCCCCCCCAGCTGCTGCTAATGCTGTTACTGCTCCTGCTTTTGAGCCTGTGGCGGTACCTCCTCCTCCTCCTCCTCCTCCTGCTGCTCCTGCTCCCGCTCCTGCTCCTGCTGCTGTTGAGCCGGTAATTTTGCCTACACCTCTGCCCCCTGCTCCTCTTCCTCCCGCTCCCATTGTCCCCCTGATACTTGCTCCCTGCCCTGCTCCAGCTGTGGTGGAAGCGATCCCTCCGCTTGCTCCTCCTCCCCATGTTATCGAACCATCTCCTCCTCCCATAAATCAATCCGTTGCTTCTTCTCCTCCAGTAATTGAACCCATTGCTCCTCCACATGTGATTGAACCCATTCCTGCTTCATCTGTAGCTGAACCCATACCACCTCCTCTTCCTGTCAAGATTGAACCCGTCGTTGCTCACCCTCTTCCCGAGTCGGAACCCCTCTCTTCCCCTCCTGTTTTTGAGCCTGTCGCCATCCTGCCAGTCCTACATCATTCAGGGGACACTTTATCCCCGCAGCCTGCTGAGCCATTTGCTGCACCTCCCCTTCCTGAGTTTACTGCTCCTTGTGAACCAGTTGCACCTCCTCCCCAGCCCCGAGTGGAGCCAGTATCCCCTGCTCCTGTCCCTGAGCCAGTGGTAGTGCCTGAGTCGAGTTCGGCCCCACCACCTCCTGCTGCACCGCCCGGTGAGTGTTATTCCAGCTGGCTGAAAACATTATTTGTAATACATTTCACAAACAAATGCTGATGGAAGCAGTTGTGGCAAATGAGCAATGCACCAGATTAATTGCTTTATGACTGGATGTTGTTTAATATTGTATTGATCGAAACTGTGTAATATTCTGATGGTCAAGGGTAGTTTAATCAATGTGAAGACATAGACAAAGCCACTATGAATCCTCTTTGTTTACGGACAATAGAGAAGTTGTGTGAGAATTTACCTAAAGCTTTTTTGCAAGTTTTTGCTGCATTTGTGCGGATGTCCTTTTTGACTTACGAGGCCGCTGTACCAAACTTTTGTCTTGCTGGTTCTAACAGGAGTGAATGCTCATTTATAAGAACTGAAGAAATGATTTGTTCTTGGTAATGGCTCATTTTATCCTGAAATATATGGGGGGGCTTCTTCAGTAGCATGGTTAATTAGAAGGTAAAGGTTAGGAGGGAATGAACTGTCCAAGGATTTACTTTAAGTCCAACTATATTGAATTTTAATCATTTTTATTGTGTGGGTGTTTACTTTAAGCCACCTTAAGCTTTATGTCTCCAACTTTTTTTTGACAATTTGTAATTAGCCTTCATTTTAAAAATGGGCCTCGCAGTAGCCTTGGTCGTATTATGTTTCGTTGCCATTTCCAAACTGTTAATGAAATTATTCATTCTTTCTTGTAATAATGTTAATAAATTGATGCTGTAATTAGTGGCCCTCCATTCTGACTTGGACGTGGAACTCAAGCTGTCATGATAGCCCTTCACCTTCGTGCTGTCAGTGAGAGCACTCAAAATCACGAGGCTAAACTCGGCAGTAGTTTTCTTCTTCTCAACATTAATCTCCCCTCCATTTTTATTCCAACAATGGATCATATGATAAATGGAGCAGTGATAAACCCACAGAGAATTATTACCCAACTCTGCACAGGGTCCTAGCGCCACATTCTGGTAAATTTTGTGATTTGGCAGGAGAATAAACTACTACTACTATTACTGTGTTTTCACTGTGTTTCCACAGCCACAACCTTGCCATAATAAATAAAGTTTTTTGATTAACCTTTTGTCAAAGGTTAGGCCAATATAAGGAAAATCTATATAATCTCTACTGAGAAGTGCAAAGGAATTTATACACAGTGTGATGGTAGCAGGGAGTTTAATCACATTTGAACCCTGTCACTATAGATAATATAGTGTCACACTACACTGATATTGCATATTGAGTTAAATGTGTATGTAAGGACTCAAACACGTGGACAAACTCACTTTATCTTTTTAGCATTATTGTCTCTTTAGTGTGTGAGCACGTCCCTTATCTCTTGACATATCCTGCAGAGGACATTTGAATGTTACCTGTTCATTACAAAGTACAGAATGGGGCGTGGGTGCTGGTTCTTCAGAGGGTGGCATCCAGGGTGTGGGCAGGCTTCCCCATCCTTGACTGTGCTCAATCAGTAAGGTAATTAAAAAAGGCCAACTTATGCCACGCCACACTGACTCCAGTGATTAAAACGACACCTCCGCAGTTTCACACAACAAACCACCAGGCCTCATTAAGGGAAGGAGGTTGGTGTGTGTGTATGTGTGTGTGTGTGTGTGTGTGTGTGTGTGTGCACGTGATACATTTTTATTTGGCCATAGGGCTTCTCTGATATGACACTGAATTTTGTGTGAGCTACCTGCCTTTTTGTCTAGTACATTCTTAACACAATAGGACAATTAAATTCATTCATTTATATTCCACGAAAACACTTCTCAGTCAGTCTGTTTTTCCATTTGCTCCAGGGCCACTTTCACAACAGTTTTATTTTTCTCCATGTTAAATAAACTTTTTCCTCCATTGTTTGAGCTAATTAATTTTCATATTAGAAGATAAATGTGACAATATCTCACTTTTGTGCAGTTGTGGAGTTTTTGTTTAGTGCATTTAGAAACTGCAAGCTGCTTTCACAGCTCTAACAGTGTTTTTGTCAGATTACATACAAATTTATGCATCCTGAAGTGGTCAGTTTTGGATGTAGGATCTACATTTTGTGTTGGAGGACATGAAGTTGTCATTGCTGCTGCCATGTCCTTTGAGAAAAAGCAGAGCTCTTTCAGAATAAATAAAGACCTCTCCATGATAACTCCATTCAGATATGTGCAGATACAACACAACAGTGTTAAGGATTGTGATTGTGTGTTTGTATTTTTTGTTGTTGCTCAATAGTCACCATGGTTTGCAGTTCTATCCACGGCTGACTCCCATCAGACATTGGCCCTTATATTTACCACATCACATAGCAGTAGTGTTGGTTGACATTTACTCAGGTATTTTGCATATGCTGCCCTTGCAAGGTCGTCTCACAGGCTGATATATACAAAGCTCACCAAGTATTATGAAAGAGAGAAAAGAAAAGTCAACTTGGATGATTGATCAAGCATGCTCTTTTTAAGGAACCCCCCTCCCAAAAAAAGGTACAATAAATGCAAATGTGAATCTCGTTAAAAAGTTGCAAAGTTCAGCCCAATCCTGAAAGGGTACGACCTTAATGAGGCTGACATTGATTATGTGTGTCCATGAGAGTTGGGTATCGAGTGAGGCTCTCAGCAGGTCGGCTGTCTCTAAATCATGGCCTGAGCCAGTATGTGTACTGATTACACCATAGTCAAGGTTGAACCTCCTACACCTTCTCCAATGTGCTATAAATATTCATATGCCATAGCCCACACACTGCACTGGACTAATAGCCTGCTTAAAGGTGTCTTCCAGGTGCTGCAGAGAAAATGGGGAAATGGGAAAGACGAGTGAAAACAATAAAAGAAATATGGGTGACTTAGTGTGTGTGCATAAATGTGAGTGTGAAACTTGTATCAGTCTCTTTTTGAAACTGACTTTTCCTGTTATCTTGTGGAAATGTGAAATGATCAGTTGCATTTCATAACATGAGATTGAATTATCAGGAAAGAGTGTGAATAAAAGAGAATCAGAAATGGCACCGGTCTGCCAGGACTGGAAGCTCGGCGCGTTTCCTTTTTTTTTCCTTTCCTGTTTTGAACATAGTGAAAGGTGTGCAGTGACTTGACTAAGCGCTAGCTGGAAACGTGAGGAAGTGGTAATGTTACAGATTATGCCCTCCACGCGGGTCCTGGGGTTAATGAAACTTCTGATGAGAAACGCAATTTGCCTTCGTCTATTATCTCCACTGCCAATAGCCTGTGCTCCACCGCCTCTCCTCTATGGGTTTTTCCACAGGGTTTAGTGATTGGTGGAAAAGGAAAGGAGGGAGACACGTCTAAAAAGATGATGAGTTTTTAATCTTTTTAACATTTACATGTCCTACTCAGGATTGAGCTCTGTCGATCTGGAATTGTCTCTGACCCAACCAGCCTCCTTCGAGGACCCCAGACAGTGTTTATCATATCAGAACCTGTTCTATGACTGACCCTGCAGGCCCGCTAGCTATCTGAAGCCTCTCTCTGCAGGGCTGAAGAGGATGTGGTGATAAATGAGAAGTTGCTGAGGCTTGCCTGAACTTGGAGGACTTTTAAAATTTTACTTTTCATTGTGCACTGCTAAAGGGGGTATATTTTACTGTGAGATATTTTAAAGGGCGGTTGATACAGAAATGCCAGTCTTACCTGATTGGAAAAGGTTCATAATGGCAAGGCTTGACCTCTGATTGAAAGTGTCACTTGAGTGTGGTATCCAATAAGCAGTGTTTTCATGTACTCTAAAGATCTTTGGAGGGAATAGTAAGTAATTGAGTTTTCTGCACAGCGCTCTTGTACAGCTGCTGGTTTTATAATCACAAGCTTCATTATTAGAAGAGGCCACTAGTGTTGTAGTCACAACACTACTAAGGCACCATTGCAGCCTTCAGAAGATAGAATGAAACATTAGTAATGTGGATATTTATTTAAAGCTGCATCAATTGATTTTTTTTTGTTGCTTTGGCAGTGGTACAAGCAGTTAAAACAACATTGACATGCAGCAGTGTCACCCTATAAAGCTGTTAAGTCCAATATTCACTCTCATTTTAGCTCTGGATTGGTTTCCAGTAACTTCTGAGGGAAACATATGGCTCTTTAACGGCTATCTCTTAACTTTGTTTGTCTGCCGTTTAGTGCTGAGTAGTATACAGGGGCTTTTTCAGAGCTTTATCACTAAAAACAGCTGCCTGGTGCGGCTGAAACAACACTGATGGGAGCCCTGAGACCGAACCAAAACTGTGAAGTTGCACGATGTTAGACCAAAACAATGAGCTGAAAGACACTAAAATAGTGTAGCTCCAAGGGTGAACTGCAAGTGTTGGGTGAAATTGATCTGAGGGTTTATCTTGAACCCCTTTTCACATTACACCTAGTCGTTTGACCTATCTTTAATATAAAAATATTGAATAGTGCAACTGTAAGCTGTTGTATATCATGATGTCTATGAGGATCCTTTACAAAGTCATTGGTGACAATGTTATCATAACCAATCACATGTTAAATTCCAGCAGCATTATTTTTTTTTAACAGAAGACAACCTTAACATATTTTCATATTTACCCGATGTCAAATAGTATTATTACTTGTTACTTAATGGATGTACCTACAGAAAAGTCAGGATTTTAACCCTACAGGTTGTCTTTCTGCTGTAGTTCTTAACAGAGTTGTAATTAGGCTCCCCTCTGCAGTGAGATCAATGGTGCTTGTGAGTGCTGTCAGACATGATGGATATTATTCTCTCATGCTCTGGACAGTAGGTGACAGCAGTCTCTGTCTTTGAGGATACACTATGTAGCAAAAAGTTGTCAACTGTCAGTCACCGCTTCTGTTTGCACTAGTGTTTCTTCTGAAGCCCTGTCATACCAAACCTCCCTCTACCTGACGCTTATTCATTCTCTTTACTGTAGCAAATAGTTGTCATACTGGGAGTTCTTGTTATGTGTCGTTTGCTGCAGAGAAGAAAAGGCTATAGAGGTTAGAAATCAGAGAAGGGAATAAGTTAAGCCATATTTTGCGTGTTTAAGCATGAATGTCGCTTTAGAGCTAATTATTAACAATGTGGGTGTGACAAAGCTGCTGAAGGAGGTCGAAATTACTAAAATGACAGGTGGACTTGTTAATGAGCCGATATTTTATGTATCCATGACAGCTGTTGCATTGACTGTAGCCATGTGTTACTAACTAGTGTCCATCAATCCAGCGGTACTGTTTTTTTTGAAGACCGAAGAAAATTACAATCTTTTAATAGCTAAAGATTTTAAGTATTTCATTAGTTACAGTTTATTTCAGTCTTCACAAAGAGCAGAATACATCAAAGCCACTGAGGTTCAAGCCACTACTGGATCAAGTCAAGAAAATGAAATCCCCTAAAATTAAACTTTGTTCTTTTCTTTCCCTGGTTTGTAGTTTGTCGTTCTGTCCACACGCTATCTCAAAAGCCTTTTAAATAGATTTCTAAGATAAATGCTGAACGCTTTTACTTTTACTTTTGGACAATTAATCTTTTTGTTTTGTTTAGTTTTTTTCCCAAAACAGTGAAAACTGTTGTAGATATATTTTATTCCAAATCACTTAAGATTTGAAGCAGCACCACATGTTCAACTTTAACAGGGACAGATGAAATCGTGACGATAATAAAAACTCTGAAGCTCCACACTTTTGTAAAACAGCCACAAGATAGGCCCTGTAACTGAATGTGATTGAGCAGCTTTGCTTGAAGAATTTTTTGCCTTTTCCTGTATTTGTTTAACAGTAGGTACAACACCAAGATAATAAAAAGAAATGACTTTGCACAGTTTTGTGTGCGTGTCCACTGGCCTGCTGTTACCACATGTTACCAGGTAACAGTAGACTCTGACAATAGGGATTATCCCATCTAACTAATGCAGTGGGAGAGTAATCTTGACACACTCACACACTCCCCCCATCACTGCAGTGTCGCAGCACACCGCATGGCACTTCTGTCTTCAGAGCACGTTTTGGGCCTGGTCACAGGCTGGCATCTTTACTTTCATGCTTAATTACCTGCCAGGATAGACTGGTGGAGACATGGAATCACGCATGTATGATGTCCCTGACATGAATATATGTAGATAAGGTGGCGCGGTGCTGAGATTTGAGGATGGGGGATGTGTGTGTGGCACAATGTAAGTAGTTGTGTGCGTGTGTAGTGTGTGTGTGTGGTTGTGTGTACGTGTGTGTTAGGTTGTGTGTTGTGTGTTGTGATCAGTGTGTGGTGTGTGTGTGTTGTGGTGGTGTGTGTGTGGATACGTCTCAAAGGCAAAAAGAGAATAGAAATTAAAATGCAAACCCAATATTCACCACACCACAACCCTCAAAGAAAAAAATGAACGTATATTGCTCGAAACACCACACACGCACGCACACACACACTAAATTTCAGCCTGAGGGACAAGATTTCGCATAGAGAGATCATGGCATACAGCAATGTAACAACGGTTAAATAGGATTAATCGTCTGTTATTTTCTCAGTTAATTGTTTGGTCAGCCCAAGGTGATGTCATTTTGCTTTAGTATTTTTGACAGGACACTGAATCATGATGGTTTAAATGTTGTTGTTTTTTAAACAACACATTTACTGATGAATGCAGATTTTACAACTATTGTAAAAACACCCACCTTTCTCTCTGTCTTTTTTTTTTTTTTTTTAAACAGTATGACTCTATTCAGTCTATTCAACAAACACAATATGCCTGCAAACAACAACAGCTGTGTACTTAAAAACTCTGTCTTTAACTCTCTTTCTCTCGTCTCTTTTTGTCCCCAGTTGATGAAGAGGCCCTAAGGAAGAAGATCACTGATGAGCTGTATAAAAGCTTGGACCAGGACAGGGCTAAGGCAGAGCAAGAGCTGCAAGCCTGGTTAGACACACACAAACACACACACACACACACACACACACACCCCCACAGTCTGGTGTTGAATGGTAAACCAGTTATGTTTATGACCTTCATTTATTTGTTTTGGAGTTAAAATTAAGATTCTTGGGTTTGCTGAAAGTTAGAATCTGTGGTCCAGTTCTCTACCCTTCTCTTTGGCCCTCTTTTCTTAATCCTGTCTCCCATACCATCCTTTTTTTAGATCATGATCGATTGAATCAGGGCACTGCACCATTGTCAATTCCTGTTCTGGGATTTCATTAGAAAACAAAGACATTTTCACATGTGACTATTTCCCGCTTTCATTAATAGTCAAAAAGGTCAGCACTAGTCTTTTCCGATTCCCACTGTGTTTCCAATCTCCCTCTCTTCCGAAGCACATCAGCACTTTTTTCTCCCTCTATCACTGCCTCTTCTCTCCTTCTCTTGTTCTCTCCGGATCAATTAATCATGCCTGAGAAAGGAGGGCGCTATCCTGAGGTAATTTCCTGGGTGTTGAGTGGGTGATACATTAGCCCTGCCTGATGAAGAAACACACTCTTCATGTAAGGAGTAGATTTCCCCTATCCTCTCCTCTCCTCTCCCCTCTCCTCTTCTTTGTGACCTTAAAGAAGCAGGTGCCTGTGCCATAATGTCTGATAATTGTTTTGCTCCCCCTCTTTAATAGCCTTGGATGATCTCCAGCAGACCCTAGTGAATGAACAACTGTGATTAGCCACTAAACGCACTTGTACTGTATGGGAAGAAAACACAACCTTTCTGTATCCAGGAGGAGGTAGTGTTAGCCTAGCGATTAGCCTCGTTTTTGAGGCCCATTCAAGAAGAAAAAAATTAACGAGTGGCTTTCAGAAATCATTTGTCTATTGATTTTTTTTTTTCCTGGTTATTTTATGTTTTTTGATGTAACTGCTTCCTGCAGCTCGATTATTGATGTCTGTTCAGAGGAGTAAGTGCTTCAAAATTATGCCCTCCTTGCAAATAATTGAAATCATGGTGGCTTTCAAGGCCTCAATTTTTGTTCTTGCTAGGCACAGGCTGTGTTTTCACTTAAGACGACTTAACATGAACATGAAATGGTAAATAAGCAATCATCCTTTAGCCAACACTTGTGTGTGTGTATGTGTTTTTGTGTAGAGGCATATTAATAACAGTTTAATGTGACTTGTGTTCTCTGTGGTGGGCTTTGTCTAGACTCAATTTCTATAAAAAAAAAAAAAAGTATTATAAAATAAATCAAAATGTAATCATGCTGAAAACATTTAATAAAATATATATAAAGCCTAATTTAAGTGATGAGAATTGACATAAAGAAATGTTGTGCAGAGCCAGGATTTTATCACATTTCAAGCCTGACTATATCAGGGTGTGGCTGCAGCCAGTGGCGTTTTCCTGATGCAAATATTTTTTTTCTGGCTTAGCTTTTTTTGTTTTTGCATGTTTCTGCAGAACAGACTACTACAAACTTAGATTCGATTAGGTTTAATATAAACTGGCTCCTCCAGCCTTTGATTTATTCAACATATAACATAAACCACCATCTGTGACCACATGTTTGTCATTACTCTTGACAGTACTAGAAATTTGGTCTTTTGGGAATGCCAAATACTGTAGATCAACCTATATCTTTGTGTTTCTAACCATAGGTAACGCGCATTTTGGCAGAGCCGCACACTTAATCGCTGTAGTAACACTTTAGGTTGTTTTGTTTGTATTGTGCAAGTTAAAACACTGGCTGTTAAGTGGCCTGTGTCGACTACTGGATCTAAAATATAAGCTGAAATGCCTCCTCTGTATGCATGCCGTTACACCTGCTTGGCTTAAACATTTGAAAATATAAAATACCCTATAGTATTAATATTGCATACACAAATATAATAAAAATATAATTCATATATATAAATATATATGAATAAATACAGTATAAAAAAAGCACACATGCCCACCAGTCACGCATGAGTAATCTTGTTTATAAAAAACTATAAACAAAATAAACATAAAACTTTCCACCTATGCTAACACACCACTATCTGTCAAGTCTAAAAATGTCTTCCACGATTTTTTTTTGCCACAGTTGAACTTTTCTATTCATTTGTAGTTATTACAGATAAAGGTGACTGATGCCTTCTTTTAATTGAAATAGATGAGAGGAACACAATGCCTTTTTTCTCATCCGTGCTGTCAAACCGTAATTAAATTGCAATGGTATTTTCACCTTCCCACAGTGCAGGCAGTAATTAAGAGGAGTTTTTCGGTTGTCGAAAGCAAACGAGGCACAGTGATTGTGGCCTTTGCTGTGTTGGCAGACTGAACAAGGAGACTGGATAGCTGTTGCTGCAAAACAGAAGAGGTTCATTTTTTTGTGTGTGAGTATATCAAAGCTCAGCTAACAAGACTGCACAGTGCCTCTCTGGTTATAGAACCCTGCAGTGAAACTGCTGCACAGCTTGAACACAGGGAAGTAGAAGAATATGTTAACCCCCAGGTCACTGGGACAGAACACATATACACATAAGATCCAGCCAAAATCTCAAGGTCATGCTCAACCCCAACAATTGCTCCTGCAGTTTGTCCGTTGTTAAAATGTCCTCACAGTGTACGCCGAATTCTTACATGCCTATTTATTGTAAGTCATCCTAACTACTTAATAAATAAATAAATAAATAAGTAAAAAATAATAAATGCAGATTATAAAACAGAGCTATTAAACTGATAGATAAGCTGTTAATAAGAGTGCCAAAATAAGCCTAAAAATGATGTGTGGTTAAAGGATATTAGACCCCTTAGACATCAAATTGTTTCCACACTTAGTATAATTCCTCCATTCTATTCTATGCAATATTGCCGTGTAGGGTACACTGATTTGGGGAGTTTTGATGAACAGTGGTATTTAGATTAGGTAGTATTTCCTCTGTTTGGCTTTAGGGCCATACTTGAACTCCAGAGATCTGGCTTTGCATGTTTTGCTCTGGTAGGAGTGAAGTACAGGCTCTGTGAGGAGTTCATTTGGGTGCAGCCTAAACTCATTTGTTGCAAGGAGCGGCTGCAGGGAGCAGATTTGCCTCTGCCGCTTCTCTGTGAGGCATCAGAGCAGAACGACTCAGAGAAAAGGATGAGAGAAAAGGAGGGACGAGGGGGAGAGAACTCTTACGCCATCCCGACTCGCCTCCCTCAACCAAACTCATCCTGCGTCACCATTCAATCCAGTTCTTCTTCTCTCGGTTATTCTCTCAGGCTTTCCTCCACCATGCCTTCCCTCTCTTCTCTTTTTATTCCTCCCTTATTCCCTTCCTTTCTATTTCTCCGCATTTTATCCACCCATCTCCTTTGTCTGTTTCTCAATCTTCCCTCTCTATTTCTCAATCTATTTTCTTCCCTCCTTTTCATGCCTTCTTTCTGCCTCCCTCTCTCTCAGTCTCCCCTCCTGTGCATGAAATGCATGTGTTTGAGTGTCCAACTCGAACACTTAAAGGTTAGTCGTTGTTGTGAAACTTTTGCCCATTATTTCAGCTAGCAGTCAAACAGCTTGTACTGGCTTGTGTGATATAATTGCATGTCAGACTTTTGAGTGAGAACACTGACCTTCTCTCAGAGCTTCTGCCTTCTCTTCCCACTAACCAGCCAGCCTCTTTCATAAATTCTTTATGGTTAGACGCAGACAGATAGTCTAAACTACAGAGTTTTACATTTTGTTTATTTTTATCTTTAATCTTTGTTCACACTGAAATAAATACACCGAAGCACACACAGAACCCCCAACTCATTTTAACAGAGTTAGAAAGTTGCGAGGTTATTAAAAAACAAAAAGTTCTGAAATCCAACCTGATTTAGTCGGTATTGTGTTTGGGGAGTTGTGATTCTTTCTTTTAAAATGTGTCTGAATCAGCAACATTGCTAGTCTTTCATCAGATTCTGTGACTGCACTTTCATTTGCTATTTCTTCATGATATTCTAACTGCGACTACTGCAAAAACATAGTACTCCCCAGCTACTTTTTGGTGGACTTGTGCCCCATATATAAAGCCTGAGTCTTTACCACAGCAGCCAGGATTTAATTCCAACCTGTGGCCCTTTGCATGTCATTCCCCTCTCTTTCTCTCCAGCTATCAATAATCATAATATTCTGTATGTGTATTGCACTTTTCAACCACCTCATGCTCCCCAACAATCAACCAGCTACCTAACAGCTACTATGAATCTAGCTATCCCAAACACCCTAGCTATCACCCAGAAATACCCAACCCTACAGAACATCATAGCAGTTAGCAACCCCCTAATGATGTCCCACCAACCATCTGGTACTGTAAACCTCAGCAACAATTTATTGCTCATCTAATACCACCCTATCAATCGTGCAAAACGCTCCAACACCTACACCAAGCGCCAAAGCAACACCATAGCAACTACGTGCAACCCTTTTCTCAGGCTTCAGCAGTACATTTTGTTTATTGCTTTTCTTTCTGGGGATACCCGCCTATGTATGTGATGTGATCATCCCAGTGGTTCACTACTGGGATGAATAAATGTAATTTCCAACAAAGCACTTTCTTCCAATTCATGTTGCCTTTGTAAAACTGGTTATATCGTTGTAAATGTGCTTCCATCCCCAGTGTATAAGGCCATTTCAACAGTTATTGAACTGTAAATATACAGTTATGAGAAGAAAAAAATTCAGCCTTTTTCAATACTGTTGCCTGCTGCTGACCTTTTCAGTAGAACAGTAATGGTTATTGACTCCGTTCAATCTCCTAGCAAATCTACTGTCTGTGGTTTGTCTATTACTTGAGCTGGAACAGAACAGATAAAATCAGTTGGCAGGAGTTCTATGAACTTGAATTAATTTCTAATATCATCCCAGTGTTTAGGGTCCATATGACACTATGGTAGCTATACAGAATAATAACCATCAGGCCTCTTAACCTATTCCACAACACTAAGTACTGTAGAGGGACTGTGTGCTCTGCCTCTTTCAGTGTATCAAATGACTGTATGTTGGGAGCTTTATGCACTAGGTATGATATTTGAAGAGACGACATCAGAGGTGAGAGTGACAACGTGTGATATCCACTTTTGACTGTGTGCTTGGTCGTTGCACTAAGAACATTGCTGTTATCTCTTCATAGTTGTGGCCAAAGTATAGGGGGAGTACAAATAGGTTTTATGTCTCTTCTGCAGAGTGGGAGCCCTTCTAAATTAATTTTCTCACCACACTGTCCTTTGTTTCCCATACACTCAGTTTTATCTCTGTCCCAGCATTTCATAGCACCCACAGTCAGGTGTGGTGTATGTGTGTTTATTTGTGAGCGCATGTGTGTGTCAGGGAGAGTGCATAGCCCCATAAAATATTCATAGCCAGCATTCAGCGACATTATTCCTAACATCAATATTGCATTGGGCCTTTAAATGCCTTTGTTTCAAGGCACTTGGGCCGAGTCTGCACTGTTATGCAGGTCTGTCAGAATCCATCCTGCCAGGCAGACTGTATTGAGACGCATCTTGTGTAGATGACAGGTAAACAACAGGAAACATTAATGGATGAAGAGCTGAGGAGAGACAGACAGAAGGTAAAGAGATAAAGCGGGAAAGGGTAGAAGACATGAATTTATTTATTTTGTTTTGATATTTAGGGCATTGATATTTGGAGTGATTTTCTGTGGATTATCAGCTAGTGATATCTTAATGTACTTGTATTGGCTGTTGCAGTTTTGGACGCACATCATTTTTGGCCATGTCTGCATTTACCATTGTTATTGGAAAGTGTGTATATGCACTCACACATACACACAAGTGAAGCTTGCCCTGAATACAGTCACTTAACCCTAAACTGCAGCCTCTCAGCTACTAAATTTATGTATTTTTCATATAGACTGCCACAGATCCAATCTCTGTCAGTTTTAAGGATAGTGTCGTAAAAGAAGTATACCAAAGTACTTCTGTTCAAGGTCATCTCCTGAAAATAAGTGAGTTACTTTTCTGGAAAGACCGACACAGTCCGACCCACTTGCACTCCTCTCCTTTTCAAATTAATAATACCTCACTGGTTCTGTCTTCCCATCTTTCTGTTTTCGAGGCCCGATCCACTGAGCCATCAAAACACAGGTTACTGGGGCAAGATTATCCTCCCTTTCTTCCCCAGTGCCGGGCCAAACATCATCCACTTATCCTCCGAAGACATGAGATTTTTTTCTTTCCTCTACATAGGGGCTGTCTTTTTCCTCTCTCTGTCTGAGTCAACCATTCTCTACCTCAAAGCTCCCCTTTCCTACCCAGTGCCAATCTTCTACAGTGGAATGAAAAATGCATCCAATATCCCAGGGACAGGGCAATAATGACTGGAAAGCAATAGAGGTGAAGCAGACAGATAGCATCCAGCTAGTGATAGCAGTCTTTGCTTCGGTTAGCACTTGCCAGGAAGTCAGTAGAAGGACTTTTTTTGCAAGGCTGTCTATTTCCCGGGCTTCCTTTCTTTAACTTGTCCAGGGTGCAGCTTTTGGTCACCTTAGCACTTGACATGGTTTGGTTTACTTTTAGGTATTAAGTAAGTTAATAATGTTCAGTTTTCTCAATGAAATTGTTTTGGTTTTTTTTACATTTTATTTGACAATCACGGTAGTTTTCTCAGTGGATTTATTTATTAATATGGTTTGACTTTGCCTGGTTCAACTCTGCTTCAACGTCTGTCATGTTAGTTTTCTGTTACGAAACAAAATGGGTAAAAAAAAATGAGCTTTTTGCACTCCTCAGTGTCAGTGTTGCTGACAGGTGTGTAGGAGAATATCTGGTTGTCCTTTTAACACCTGCACACTTTCAACACTTGCACATTAATTCATGTAATGAGTGCAGGGACTTTGTAACAAAGCTTCATGAGGTCAGTTTGCTTCAGCAGAATTGTTTTATCTCATTGAACATTTATTTACCTTTATGGCTAAAGTAGGCCTACTTACTACCAAATTCCTGCATTTTCTACAAATTGCTGCAATTGTCCACTTATTGTACCACCAAAGTCCTCCTCTAAAAATGCTGTATACTGTCTCTTCTCTGTCATAGTAGTAGCAACAGCTAAAGCTTCTTGAGGCAGCTTAGGTGTATTAGCAGTGTAGGCAGGCGTGGACTGTATGGAAATGGTGAATGTAAAAGGCCATTAGGAGGCTCCCTGTGTGTGTATGTGTGTGTTGGAGTTGGAGCCAGATGATGGATGGAGTGTGCTGACGTGTGCAGCCCAGTGGACTGTGAGACTGGACATGGCTGGTCTCTCTCCGTCTCCCTCCATCTCTCCCACTCTCTGCCTCACACCCTCTTTGCTTCACTTCCTCGGGACCAAACATGTCATGTTGCCACCGCTCACTCTCGCTCCTTCCTCTCCCTCTTTCCCTCCGTCTGCACCGTCTCATCTTGCTCTCCCCTGCTCTCTGACATTTAGTGGTGTTGCAGGGCAAATGGCAGCTTTAAGACATCAGACATATTTTTTATTAGACCTACCCGTCAGCTGCTCAAAGCCAAAGGCAACGGGATGGTGATCAGTTAGACTAGTCTGTCCATCACGATTCCTCACTGTCTAAATTTTGAGTATATTCACAGGTGAGTGAAGAGATGAATGAGATTTTTTGAAATAGAATAAAAGATGAAAACCCTTCACGTTGACAGATCAGTCGGTGCTTGTAATATCAGTAAAAACAAGGCCAAGAGGAGAAAAAGCCACATACTGTATCTATGCCTGTTACCACACACTTGACAACCAGGATGATGCACTTACATTATCATAATGAGCAATGCACAAACCTAATGAGGCTGTGAATGAGTCATGCATTTAACTTTAAGTGTTCATGAATAAAACAAAAATGTCCCACCTTTAAAGCACAACATTGAAAATTATAGAAACACAGAAAAAAAAATTTGTTCTAGTAATTCACCATTTATAAAACAACTGCTTTGGTTTAATGGACGTCTTACAGAAAATGATAAATAAGAGCTGTAGCAAGCGATGGATCATAGATGTTTCATTTGAATGTGAAGGAATTTCGTATTTAACTGTTTTCCAATCTGTGGAATAAAGTCAACATTCACCATCCAGCCCACTTCTCATCAAGGCTGTCTTAGGATTTTTCTTAGGCAGAAGTTTATTAAGACCCTCATCTTCTTCATTCAGTCTGTTATAATTCACCCAGGCAGTCACTGTCTCTGTTCTGTGTTTATTTTACCTTGCCACCACCGTTTGATTTCAGGCAGAGGAAGACTTTCAGGGACGTTCCTCCTCTTCTCCAATCAAGCACACTGTCGCCAAGTAGGGAGTGCGTTGCTAGGCAACTATGAGAACCAAGTGACAGGGTTCAAATGGTGGTCTTGTGTCTGCAGAGAGTGTACTGCCTCCGTCTATATCACTATTTCATTGGATTGATGATTCTTGTTTTGGAGAAATGGTAGTGTCTGTTACACTCTATTACATATTGATAGTCAAAGCACTCTTCTCTGTAAATTATTTGGAAATGATATGAATTGATTTGAACTGTCTGACAGATGTTAACTGATTGCGGTACATCAGGTTTTTGACACTGAGGCATTTAGAGTTCAACTTAAAACTTTAGTTTCAGTGTGTGATTGAGTGTGACTTCTCAATGTTGCCCTCTATTTGCAAGCTGTGGAATAGCAAGCACATGTTTATGGATGAATCAGACATTAGGCATGGAAATCAATATACAAGTATATTGGCCTATATCTATGCTTCATTAGCACTGTAATTGTATTTATGACCCTTTTGATTCTTTTGGGAGACACTGCAGCATGCAGTATAGCAGGCGTGTGAACGTGGGCGGTGGTAAACTTTTGATAGTTTACAAAAAAAATTATTTTAATATCCATGAGGCAGATATTCAATATCTGTGCCTAACAAGATGATCATTTTATGTAATTTATGTCTTTGAGCGATAGATACCTGTATGTTTTTTCTAAAGATTTTTGTTTTAAAGTAGCTTGATTTTGGATGAAATGAACAAAACAAAGAAATTTGATTCATGCATTATAGAGAAAGCTGCAGGGGGAAGAATAGTAAGTAGTATATACTTTAGTAGAGTAGTATATACCATGAGGTGCATTGTTACTATACCCCGTGTGCGGTCTTAAGTTCTGCTGTGATTTTGCAAATCATAATCGTGTGATAATTTGAAAAACGTTTTAAAATAAAGTGTATTAATCATATAAAATGTTGATGCTCCACAGGCTGGAGGAAGAGAAGGCTCGGTCAGCAGCCCAGGCTCAGGCTGACGCCCAGTCCCAGGTCCAGGGTGAAGTGTCCAGGCTTCTGTCTGTGGAGCGCACCATGGCCCAGGAGAGCCTCCAGCAGGCTGTAATAAGAGAGAGGATTGCCACCGAGGATGAGAGGCTGCGCGCTCAACTCTTTGTAAGTCTGTCCAAAAACAACCTCGACGTGTGGCAGCTGCTGCGAGCTTAACATCTCATTCTATCTTGCTCAACAGTTTCATACATCCTCAGCATTCAGTTGGATAAAGCTGCACCACAGTATGACCTTGCAAGCGTGGACTCACTGATGAGAGCAATGTTTACATGAAGACAGGTCCCATTTTATTTTCACACATTCCTGTTCTATCACACAGACACACAGAAGTGAACCTATTTGCTGTAATCGACAGGTTATGGCTAGTACAGTGACGAATGCTGTGAGAGCATGAGCAACACTGTGAGCAGTAATTCATAAAACCATCCTGAGTGAAACATACACACAAAGATTTAACTGTTTTTTCATAGTTATTACAAGACATTAAAGCTTTATCTACATTATACCAATTCTGAGTACATTTTAAAAAACAAACGGTAAGTAAACCCCCCTTTACTGTATCCACATCTTGCAGTTCGATATTTTTGTCCTCTACCATATCTCTGCCTGTTCATCCTGCTGTATTGTAAAAGCTACCTTCATTATAGGCAGCCTGTGTCTTTATTTCCCGTAAATTGCCCTTGTAAACATTGTCAGATGAGCGTTCCTTACCACACTCACAAAGGCAGCATATTGTTTTCAAAAAGAAAACACATTTTCCCCGGAGTGTGGCTGCTGTTTACAAACCTATGCTATTGATTATATAGCTCATTTCACACGCTCATCGCCGTAATAGAAAAATGAATCATTTTGTTGATCAAGAGAGAGGGAGAAGGAGAGGAGTGTTGACGTGATTCCACGCCGCAGGACAAGTGTATGAGGGATTCCTCATTTGGAACGGCGATCCAGTCGAATGAAAAAAAAAAGGCAGACGCAAGAGAGAGAGA